GAAAAATAAAGGGGACAATGCCAACATGCTCAACAATAGGGGTTCTTTTTCTTATTTTTTAATACAAAATACAAGCAAAGGATACACATACTTAAAACAGAGCTCAGGAGCAGACACGCAGTCCTGGAAACCCTTCAATAAAAGTAAAGCAGGAGTTTGTTTTTTTGTCTATGCAGATACATACAGAGACTGGGATATGTAAAAATTAAGGATCACAAAAGACCATCACACGATTCTACCAATGCATGTTGCATCTATAATTCACGAACATGGTCAACAAAATCATGTTCACTTCAACCCTATTTCATTTAAATTAAAGGAAAAAACCTTTTAAATAAAGTGGTTACATTCAAACTTTAACTTCCTTAGTACCATGCTGCAGATTCCAGCACTGTTAAGGTATTGCAAGAATGCCCAACCCTCTGGTGTCTGATCATGTATCTAGCAATATTGTAAAGGATGCCGGTTTTAGCCCATGGACTAATTCATATGTTTAAGCAGGTTCCTCTTTTACCCTTCCTGCTCAGAACATAAAAAGATTTAAGGACTAAAATTGAGGACTAGGAGTTTTTTTAGCTGGCAAAATGAAAAGTCTAAAACACGAATCAAGGCAAACAATCACTGAGAACTTGGCTGCTGCTTAACCTGGCAAGTCTTAGTCTTTTCTAAGTCTTGCAGGAATTAGGTGTATAAGGTTTGTTGCAACACGTTCATGGTAAACAAATTAAGTAGAGCTCTTATTTACAAATCTTGTAACAAATACTTCTGGAGGAAAAAAAGGAAAGGATTCACTAATTTCCAGAAGACAAAGGTTTAATTTGCTAGACATATACAAACACACACTCATACACACACCCACACAATACTTGAGGGGTTTTTATACATGTTATTTTAGGGCATAAGCTGAGTACTATACCCCCACACCCCATCAAAAAAAAGAACAACAAAAAAAATCCCAGTTTCACCCCCCATGATCTAGAAAACCCTCCCTCACCCCTGATGTACAAAGTGTCTGCACAGCGGTGGCATTCTACCAGCCACACAAAGCATGCTCCAATAGATGTCACCCATCAGTCACTCCATTGGCATGGCAACAGGCAGATATTCGGGATTTTCCCCAATAGTGGTTATTTCAGTCAGCACCACTGTGAGTTTCGTGTATTAGGCTTGAAGTGTAAGTTAAGGATTTGATATTCAGAAAGAATTATGTGAGTTTATCCAAAAGAAAGGGAAAATGAGGTGAGACTGAAATCTAGGTGACAGACATCTTGTCCCAATATCCAAACAATAAACCAACTCTCTATTTTCACACTCAGCTTCACCCGCAGAGAAAAGGACAAATGTTCTACCCTCAAGAGCATCCAGTTTATTTTTCCTGCTCCTTAGCAGGAGTTATGTATTACTTGTTAAGTATCTCAGTATAAACTCCGTAAAGACCATAACCCAGGTTTCTTTCCTTCCAAAATCTGAGTTTTTTTTCAGTGTTGCTACTGTTGATGTAGGCAAAGAACGAACAATTCAAATGGGCACTCACCTACTACAAGTGGCACATGATCTTTCCTAAAGCTTTTCCCGTTGCTCCTGGTATTAAACTCTGCTCTTGTCTCTCAAAACATCTCTTAAATTGAAATTTGTTTAAAGAAAAGCACTATTCCATGCCCAACCAGTACTCTAAAATCCACCTGTTATTCAAATCATCACTGATACAAAACTTTTTGTCAGGTGTCAAGTTCACTATAACTGACCATACTCTAGAGATTGCAATCTCAATTTCCACTCTGATTTGTTACTGACAAGAGAATGGTACGTGAACCAGTTCCAAGTACTGAATTTGAGAATTTAAGTTCTGGGGCAAATCAGTTATTGTGAAAAAAAAAAGTCACTATCCAAAGTTCCTTCAAGAGAATTCAACTACTGTACTATTCTTCACAATCAAAAGATTTCCATGCATTTCCCCAAGAAAGGAAGAAACGCTCATTATTTTTCCTTTATGGAATCACTATGGAGTGGAGCTATGAAGTTTTAGAAAGCAGAGCAAATCTTCCATTACTGAGATTAAAAACACCCTTGGGTCCACTCCCAATTCCAACCTGAGGTGAGGATGGCTAAAAGCAGCAGCAAGTTACCAACAAGTATTCTATTAGCTGAAGGAGGGGAGGATAGCACAAAAGAACTTTTACGAATTAGAATGTAGTGTCAGTCAGCATAGCTGCCAAAATCTGTTACAGAGGTAAAACCTAGGGGAGTTTAGACTTTAGATACAAGCACCTTCAAAGTCAATATCCTACTTCCTGAGCGCTGCAAAATACGACAGTGAATGTTACTGCCACTTCACGATAGGCACACTAGTAAAAAGAGCAGGTTTGGCCAAGAGGAAGTGACAATGGCCAGTCACTACGCTTCAGCTGCAAAGCATCCTAACACCATCGTCCAGCCTAATTGCTGAGCACCTGTTTCCAGTTGAGTCACTGTAAGTGTCCTCCTACTTCACGCATGATTTGAGGGAAGACTAGAGCATTTTAAAACATCAATGAAGTGGAAAAATGCAAGTCTTCTAAAACCTATCTCACTTGGGGACACAGGTCTTTCAGCCAGTAAGAAATTGATAATACAGCTTTTATGTAATGAATTAGTTTTAAGAGTCTCTAATCAAGAAGCCAAATCAAATCACATAGCCTAGAAAAATTACCTGTAATGTACATGTCACAGAGATGTTAGTGCAGATTCATGTATTAAAGAGATTATTACACACAAAAATGAAGTTAAAGATTAAAAATAGCCTCCCCATCTGCATAAAACATATCTAAGAAAAGCTCAAATGTAACTAGGAATGTAAGACTTAAAATAGAAGTGCATGGTGGGAACACTGACAGGTCTTTTACTCTACGAATGCATACTTTTCTTAAACATGGACACCTGAATCCTTAACATCCTCATTACAATGCTTATAACTATAAATTTCAATATCACGTAAGATGATAAACCAACTAGTATTTCTATTCAAGCACTGTATTTTTGGCCATGTGCTAAATATTCTTTATTTGTTCTTTAACACACAGTGCAACAAAGAAATGACTCTGACACTTTTTTTTTTTTTTACAAAGTGAAGAACATTCCTTAAAGTGTCTTAAAAACCAGAGTAAAAATATTTCTTAGATAACTTGGTCAAAACAAAACAAAACAAAAACCCATAAATACCCATTGTCCTGGGAATATCTGCAAGAAAGCCATGTTGTCTGAGGAAAACATGTTGCCACTTACAAAACCACAAAAATAAGACTACTAAAGAAGCAAATCTAGATTAAACAGCAGGGGGAAAAAAAGCAGTTCAAATTTGCTAAATTTCTGATTAACCTACTAGGACCCTTAAACTTTGCTCCCACTAGCACACAGTAGCAGGATGTATAGGCTCAAACCTACAGATCTCTGGACTTAACTCTCCTAAGGCATAAAAAGTCCTGACACCGATGGCACACGGGCCTCCTACAAACACACAGGTTTCTCTAGTCCAGCTGAGTCTGTCTCTTTAGGAAACATGAGCAATAAGCAGGGGGCCAGACCAACTCAGTATGTGAAAGTGGCATCTATGACACCTCCCTTCTGTCAGTACGTGGAGAACAGAACCTGGAAATGTCCTACAGCAGAGCTGCTGGGCACCAGATTGGGTATGGTGGTCCAAAGCAGCAGGCAAAGGACAGGTGTATCTCATAGCACGTTTCTACAAAGAAACTGGGCAGATCTGGGTGTAAAAGGAAAATGTTCTATCCCTAAATAAAATTAGCATGGTTAATGGACTCTGAATGCACATTTACAGCATAAAAGAATTTCAATTCTACTTTCATACAGGAAAAATCTCAACCCTTTGTGACTGAGTTTCACATTAACTGGAACTTTTGTGTACAACCTAAACACTGTCATTTTGGAAAGAAACTCACTGTGATGTGTAGATCCATCTTGCCAGTTAGTAAGTTCTAGGGTTTTTTTCTCTTTCTCTTATCCTTGGTAAAATTTTATCCAAAAAACAGGATATATATTTTTAAAACATGACCCATTATAGAATAAAGTATGAAATCAAGAGTGATTTCAGTTTTGGCAGCCCCTATATATTCTAAGCTCTTTAAAGACTAGCTGGATAAAAGGATCATGGGCTCCAAGTCTCTTTGAGATAAATGATGAAATAAAAATGAAAACCCACACCCCCAAACATGTTGAGTATCCCCACCATTCCACACCCACCCACTAAGGTAAAAAATATGAGTACTTTTAGTAACAATTCAGAATTCACCTTTATCTCCTACTGGACTCATCAGTTTAAGAGTCATGATTTTTTTTTTTTAGACATTTATACTTAGCATATAGATATATAAACTCATATTAGATGACAATTGATTTTTTAGAAGTCCAGGTAGAGAAAGAAGCAATTATTTTTACCTAAAATCTGTCTATGTTTTTTGATTACTGTTCAACTTGCTATGTCATTTTAACCAAAAGTGAAGTTCTTCCCATTGTCTCCATCTCAGATCTTATTGCTTCACACATGTGGTACATCTTCCGTTAAAAAGAAA